CATTCCAGACAGGTGAAGTGCAAGGGACATGCATTGCTTGCTTTTTAAGGAAGAACAACCTGAGTGTTAGGTTTCTGAATGAGTGTTCTGGGTACAGTTTGTGGCATATGAAAAAGGCCAATTCAGGAACAGAGCTGCAATCCATTTTCCTTTCAATGCAGTCACATTAATTTGATTCCTCCTCACTGAGCTGTGTTAGTTAATAGTTATATGTATTGTAAAGATCCTTTTGAAAGAATAGGTAGTGTGCATCCATTTTTGCACTTGGACAAATCCCAGCTGTGACTCTGGCTTTCTAGGCCCTGCAGAGTGGTCCCCCACTCTTCTCCCATCGATCCTGCCCCCCACCTGCCCCCTCAGCCCAGATGTCTGTCCTCCCGGGTCCCCCTGGGCTTTGATCCCCAGCTTCTCTCCTTCCCAGGGCTTTTACTTCCCTTGATCCCCGCATGGCTGCTTCCTTCTTGTCATCCAGATGTCCCCTTCTAAACCGGGTCTTCCCTGGCCATCCTGTCTCCTGGACCTCCCCTTCTCCTCAGGTGACTGTTTTCACCAGGGGTAGGGGTCAGGGATGCTGCTAAACAACCCACAGTGCGCAGAACAGCCCCTGACAACAAAGAATTATCTGGCCCTTTGCTGATGGTTTTGTTGTATTCTCCCTCTTTATTTGCTTCATAGCCTTTCTTGATGTCTGCGATGATGACTTTACTCATTTGTGACTTTTTCATTGTCTGTTGCCCTGTGGCCCCCTCAACTCCTGGTGGAACCTAAGCTCCAGTTGGGGAAAAGGCCTCCATGTTGTGGTCACCCCTGCAACACTCCCATCTAGTTGGACAAGGACTGGTCCCGGAAGCCTTCAAGCTCCAGGTCCTGTACTTCCAAGGGCGCCTGGCCATGTATTCACTTGGTCATGTGACTGTTTTTTGTTTGATTTTGTTTTGTTTTTTTGCTGAGGAAGATTAGCCCTGAGCTAACATCTGTGCCAATCTTCCTCCACTTCAGATGTGGGATGCCGCCACAGCATGGGTGATGAGTAGTGTAGGTCTGCATCCGGGATCTGAACCCATAAACCCGGGCCACTGAAGTGGAGCACACGGAACTTAACCACTACGCCACAGGTCTGACCTCCCATGACTGTTATTTTTAATCAACATTATCAAGGTGTATTTTACATATGTACACTGGCCATATGTTTTGGTAAAACTTGTAAACGTAAAATAGTTTTATATTTTCTCTCAGAGAGGGTTCCCCCTGGTGTTTCCCCACACCAGCAAATTCTCCAAGTCTCCAGATACCAGCTGGGTGTCCTACAATTCGATTCGATTCTGACAGTACCTACCCAGAGTTAAGAGCAGACCCCACAGGTTAAGGGCTCGGTCCCCCAGGACTGCTCCCCCTTCAGAAGCCATTCACACATATTGGGGCCTCCAGCTACCCGCATTCTGTCCGATTTGGCTACAAATTCAGAGGTTCCCACCATCTCTTCTCAGCTTCACTAATTCACTAGAACGATGCTCAGAATTCAGGAAAGCGCCTTATTTACTGTGACCAGTTTGTTATAAAGGATACGACTCAGGAACAGCCAAATGGAAGAGACGCTGAGGGCCAGACAAGGGGAGAGGGCCCAGAACTTCTATGCCGGCTCTGGGTGAGCCACCCTCCCAGCACCTCCATATGTTCACCAACTAGACAGCTCTCCTGTGATTTAGGGGTTTTGATGGAGGTTCCATTACATAGGTGTTGTTGATTAAATCATTGGCCCTTGGTGATTCACTCCCTGGAGGCTGGGGAGACGGGGCTGAAATTCCAGCCCTCTGATCAAAGCTTGGTCTTTCTGGTGAGCAGCCCCAACCTGAAACTACCTGGTAGCTCGTCAAAAGTCACCTCATTAGCGTGAACTCAGGTGTGGTCATAAGGGACTTGTCAAGAATAACAAAAGTGATGCTGTTACCCCTATCACTCAGGAAATTCCAAGGGTTTTAGAAGCTGTGTTCCAGGAACTGGGGACAAAAGCAAATATTTTTTATTATATCACGTCCTCCTCTTGTATTGGCTTCAGGCCCCCACACCCGACTTGCGTCTTCAGCTGTGCCCAGTAAACTGTCACCCTACAGTAGGGATCTGCTGAAAGAAGGAGCTAATGAATGAATGAATTATAGGGGATGATAACACCGTATCTGACTTTTTTTAGGGCCCTTAACATAGCTGGAATTGTCTCCCCAGTTCTATGCTCCCCATTTTCTGTTTAAAAAGTGAGACATGGAGTGGGAGCTCTGGCTGGGGGGTACAGCCTGCCCAGGAGACAAATGCTCTGGCCGCCACGGCTGCGAGACTCTCTGTTGAGACTGTCAGCTTCTCCATCTACCCAGGTCCATTTATTTACTTTGCTTGTAATAAGAAACCTTTGTTCTTGTTTAGGAATATTTTGCCCATTCTGTTGGGTCCAGATTTTGTACATTCTTGTCTTGGAGCTTCAAACACCATGTTTTAAAAAAAGTCTAATTAGACCTCCTGCAGCCAGAGAGACGGAAGAGTGTGAACTCACTCCCGCTGAGATCCTGGTTGGAGTCTCATTTGACCCTGTATGGCCTTGTCTTTGACATGTAAACAATGTTTTCTTGGCTTAGTGATGGGGTTTCCAAGTAGAGGATCTTGCCCTTTTGTTTCTTTGGTTTGGAAGAATTGTTTGTACCAAGTGATGGGTCAGGGGTGGTTCAGCAAGTGGGAGGCAGAGATGTGAGCCTTGAGGTTCCTGACATATCTGCAACTGCCCTCAGGAATGAGGGGGCCGTGGAGCCTGGGATGTTGGCCTGGTTCCTGAGCAGTTTGCTCCCACAGCCCCGACTCCTCTGCTCTTCTCAGAATGTCCCTGTCCCATATCCCAGCCTTTACTGACTAGCATTTCTCAAACTGGTTCCTTGGGACATTAGTGAGAATTCCATGGCCAATTATGGTTTGGAAATTTTGTGTATTATGTTCCTGTCCTGTGGATTCACAGGGCTTATTAGCATTTTAAAGGCCCTGAAAAGTCCTGCTGTAAAGAAATCTGTGTGATTTTGTTCATCTTTTCTCCAAGTCATTTAAGCACAGAACACGTTGACAACATGCAGAACAGTGTGTGGAGGACATTTTACGAAACGCTGCTTGGCTGTTTCTTGGTCATCATATTTTGATAAAACGTGGACCTTTTGGTCCAAGGCAAGGGAGTGTTTCTGCTGATGAGTTCTGATTGCTCAGCCCATCAGCCAGTACGGTGAGGGTTTAACGCAGGGTTAGTTAATACACTTTCTCTGGGGACAGCAAGGATTGTTTGACAAGCGTGTCCCTACCGAGTCTGAGGTGAGTCTGCCGCCCTTGGGTAATTCTCAGGCGCTAAGGAAAAATAATGTGGTATAGGATCTCCCATCTTTGATTCCACTTCACATGTTCTTGGCATTCGCTGGCAATTAAAAATCATCATAGTAGGAGTTGTTGATGATGCTAGTATTATTAATATTATCTATCTTTTATGGGATGCTAAATATGTGTAGGCTGTTTGCAAACTCTTCATATGCATTAACTAAGTTAGTACTTGTTGCAAACTGCGAAGGGAGGTACTCCTAACCTAATTTTACTCATGGGGAAACACAGCTAGTTAGCAGTGGTCTGCCACTGTTAGAAACTAAGTAGGTCTCGTTTTTTGCTCTTTTTACAACATCTACAAAGAAGTGTCATTTGGGCAACAATACATTTTATAACCACAGGATTCTATTAATGGAGTTTTAAGAATCATGTTTTCCCCAAAATGATGAAAGTGAAAAATTATTTCAGGGTCTGAAGTGTTGTGCTACTCGGGAATATTGTACATCGGATTGAATTGCTTAATAACTTCAAGTCAAATGATTTTTTCTATGATACGCTCCATTGAAGGAGAGAATCATTTCAGTGCTTCTAAATTTTCATTAACTTTTGCTTGCTAACCTGATAATCAAGGTTAGCTCTAGGTAAGAGACTATTGGTGCTATTGGGAGAGAAAACAGATTTCTCTGCCTGCTCTCATCCTAACCATCCTCCTTCTTGGAACTTTGTTGACTTAAAAACACTGATATTTCAATTCATCCCTCAAATTTGTAGTCACTGACTGCATGAATCTGAAAATGATTGCCAAGTCCTGGCTTTGGGGATCCGCTAACTTAGATGTGTCCAGGCGGAGGCATTAGAGGGGACACGGGTTGTGCAAAATATGAGATGTTTGATGTGGTGCTGGTGGTGCTGATGTTGGGGCCATGTTTGGTGGCAGAGATTGAACCCCAAAAGTAAGCACCAAGGACCTGAAACCTCTCCCTTTACCCTATAGGACTTTCTGTGACCCGCTTGTGACCCAGCAGGCTCTGCTGAAACATAGAAGTAGAAAAGAGATGTTCACTTCTCTCCTTGGAAGATGACCCCTGGGTTATTACTGTCATCACGTAACAGAATAAAACCTCTTTTCTTTGTTGTTTAGGTAATCTGACATTTTAAAAGATTTTGCTCCCCGTGAAGAGGAAACCTTTCAAAGGAACTCAGGATGTAAAAGAAGAAACCTCCGTGGGCATCTCCATGGATGGCATGCCAGTCCATCCCTCACTGAGAAGACCATGATATCTTCTAAGCTCTTGGGTGTTTCTATGTTCTCCAGCAAGAATTCTTCCATTTCGTTTTGTGCCATGGGAAAAACCTGAAGGACAGGCAGAATTGCTCCTGAACTCTTGGCTTTTTCCACAGTTGCAGTGGCTCTTAGAGAACATGACAGTTGGAGATCATTTTCTTTTGTTGTCATTCAGGGTCGAACCAAAGAATGTGCTTCCTCATTCTCTAGTGCTTTGGCGCCTGCTCATTTTTATATTTATTTCTGTTGCTTGTGCCTTCCAACCACCTTATGTAACCACAAGACGTCCTTAAAGGTTCCAGCGTGGCGTGCATGCATCTGGACTCCTCAGGGGCTCGCCCATGGCTCGGTGGGCCAGCAGTCCAAGGGCATTACCATGAGGCACTGCATTAATTGCTGCTTACAGTTGTCACCTGACGACACACACGAACAGCGGGTTGGCTGCCGAGGAGGCCCCCATCACAGTCGCCACGAGTGCCCTGTGTGCAAAGGAGAAAACAAAATTGTATTTCGCGTGGACGGTAAGCAGATGAACTTGCTTGCTGTTCTCGAAGTGAGGGCTGACGGGAATGAGAGCTGGGGCGGGTTTTTTCGCTTCAAGAAGGGGAAGCGATGTAGCCTCGTTTTTGGATTGATAATAATGACTTTGGTGATGGCGTCTTACATCCTTTCTGGGGCCCACCAAGAGCTTCTGACCTCATCGCCTTTCCACTACGGTGCCTTCCCCAGCAATCCTAGCTTGATGGACAGTGAAAATCCGAGTGACACGAAAGAGCAACATCACCAACCCTCTGTAAATAATATTTCATACATGAAGGACTATCCAAGCATTAAATTAATTATCAACAGCATCACGGCCAGGATAGAGTTCACAACCAGACAACTCCCAGCCATAGAAGATCTCAAGAAGCAGGAACTGCACGTGAGTAGCCTTGTACTAATCTCTGTTGATTGATTTTAAAAATGGATTCTTCCTCTCCTGTCACCATCTTTGGGAAGACAGAAAGAAAATGACAGAAAAATTTCTCAAGTGTAACATGTGAGGATAATTTGACAGCCTTATGGATCAGAGTGCACGGGGAGAGTGCTATCTGTTTACACCAAGAAGGGAATTCACGGTGCTGAATGGCAGAGCTAGAAATGTCGGGGGACCGCACCTTCTCCTAATTCCATCCCAGGACTTCTGCCTGAAATGTGGTGGTGGCTGTAAACGTTCCTTTTAGATCACCATCATCTTGTTTCTGTTCTTTTCAAATTAGTATTTTTGTCTCTAGTGGCCATTTAAATATACAAGTAGTAAAGAGATTCCAACTGTTAACTTAATTAGACTGCCCTGTGTGTGTGTGTGTGTGTGTGAAGGATAAGTCACGGTAGAATGGGTTTTGATTAAACTTCCATCTTCATTCTCTCCAAATTTTATTTTTATTTTGGGATAAGGAAAAACATGGTCACTGGCTATTTACCAAGTTTGGCTTTATTTTAGTATTTAGTCATTGTCAAGTAATACTTCAGATTTGAGCATCGTAATAAGTATGGCGGGGGGATCATATTGTGGTTAGAATGGGTTTTTGGTAATTCCCGCCCCCCCCCAACCCCGCCGTGTGTCTCTCCCTTTTGTTCTTTTTCTTCGCAGATGTTCTCAGTAATCCCCAGTAAATTCCTTCCGAATAGTAAGAGCCCCTGTTGGTATGAGGAGTTCACGGGGAGGAACACCACCGACCCCTACCTCACCAACTCCTACGTGCTCTACTCCAAGCGCTTCCGCTCCACCTTCGACGCCCTGCGCAAGGCCTTCTGGGGCCACCTGTCGCACGCGCACGGGAAGCACTTCCGCCTGCGCTGCCTGCCGCGCTTCTACATCATCGGGCAGCCCAAGTGCGGCACCACTGACCTCTACGACCGCCTGCGGCTGCACCCCGAGGTCAAGTTCTCCGCCATCAAGGAGCCGCACTGGTGGACGCGGAAGCGGTTTGGTGAGTGAGCGCGCGGCCCCGGCTGCAGGGGCGCCCAGCGCGGGTGGCCCTCTCCTGGGTCCCGGGGCCGTGATCGTTCGTTCGCTCACCCCTTCCGCGGGGTCTGGCTCCAGGGAGAGGGCGTGATGTGAGCCGGCGCTGCGCGGCTCCGGGAGGGTGGCGGGGCGGGGAGGTGGGAGAACGCTCTGGGATGCAGGGACTGCACGGTTCGCTTGTCTGAGGTCCCACAGGCCAACATCCAGCGGGGACTGGAACCCAGCTCCCAGCTGCCCAGTGAGCATGTATCGAGTGCCAGCTGTGTGCAGGGCAAGGGGAAGGGGGCAGAGTCGCCACTCATCTGGCCCTGAAGAGCCTTGGCTTGCCTGCCAGCCAGATGCCGGGTGGACATTCGGTTGGGACCCTGCAACCCAGCTCTGTGCCCTTCCCGCGGGAGCCCCCACACCTGGAGGAGACAGCGGAAGAAAGGCTGCTGCACACGGGGTGCCGGCTCCCTGCTCGCTCAGCCCAGGGCCCTGAGCACAGCACTGGGCTGCAGTGGCCGCGTTTTCTCCACCCTGCCTTGTCTGCCCCATGGGGTCGCAGTGAAAAGGACGTGGAGAGAGTTCTGGGCGGCCCTGCTGCAGCACCAGTTTCCCAAGGGCTTGCCCTGGACGCCACCCACCCATCCCTCCCACAGGCTGCTTTCTGTTCCGCCCAACCTGCGCCACCCTGCCGCCCTGGGTCACTGCTTCCTCTCCTTGACCTTTCCTCCTCTGCCAGGAGACGTTTGGTCACTGGAGCTCAGGGGTGACACATGCCACAGTCTGGGCGTGCCTCGAGGGTGTTTTCCATGTAAAGGACCCAGGTTGGTTAGAAGGGAATTTAAAAAGTTTTCCTTAGTAGATCCTAAGTTTAGACCAACACTTAATGTGTTTGCTGATGAATGTTTGACCTCATCCTTCTGCTGTTCCTCCTGGAGTGAAGGAGAGGATGTCAGTGTGTCTTTATGGTTTGGCGGTGGCAGCCGTGGGAGCCAGGGTTTCGCGTTCCTCATTTGTCAGCGTTCTTCCTACACGTCTCACGGTTTTCCCTAATGAAAACCAGGTTCCCACCAGTGGGGAGAAGGGCAGCTGGGGTGTGCCTCTGGAATCTGGTGTCCAGGGCCACCTTGAACCTCTGGCAGTTTGGCCCATTGATGTTCTTGGTCCGCTTTCCACTTTAAGTTTGGTAGCTGTGGTTTGGGAGAATGTTGTTGGTACATTTACAAGGGAAATGTACCTACTTTTAAGGCAAGGGGCAAATTTTAGGCCGCGTGTGGCCGATGCCAGAGCAACTAGTAAGTTCAACTCAAGTGCCTGTCCAGCATCAGTTACCCTTGATTGGACAGATGGACAGGCTGCTTGATCGAATAGGCTGGGAGACAGAACCTCAGCTAAGACCTCTCTTTGCTGTTTAATACAATGTTTGCATCCTGGATGCCATTGCTGCCTGGCCACTTCAGGGTCTCACCTGGTGCACATGTTAACCAGCCCCAAACTCTCTGGCCTCCATGCAGATGCATTTATAGTTCTTGAATGGGTGTGCCGTCCATAAGCTGCCATTGTACAGCTTAATGGTGGTGTCTTTCACCCTTTGAAGCGCACAGGGGTTAAATGAAGGCAGCCAGTTCGCAGATGCCCCTCCCGCTGTTGCCCCCTCCTGCAGCTTACTGGGGGCAGCCTTGACTGCTGCAGGTGGGCCCTTGGGCCATTCCATCCCTCTCTGCTCATTCCCCGGGGCGGTGGCAGCTTTATCTGCAGTAACTCCTGCTTCTTGGTTCTTGTAGGCATCGTCCGCCTGAGAGATGGGCTGAGGGACCGCTACCCCGTGGAAGATTATCTGGACCTCTTTGACCTGGCCGCCCACCAGATTCATCAAGGCCTGCAGGCCAGCTCTGCAAAGGAGCAGAGCAAGATGAATCGAATCATTATCGGTACGGCTTCTGCGTAGCTCCTGAGGGGGCCCCGCTCCTGCCCTGAGTCAGTTCTGGCTTCACTCTAGCTGTGGAACATTTGTGTGATGCCTGCTGACATCTGTTGAGAGAGTACTTTCCTACTGGCTGTCACTCTTACCCCTACTTAAAACATTCATATCGCTTGTACAATTTCTATAAAGCAGAAATGTTTAGTAGACTTTCTAGTTCCATGGAGACTCCAGCACAGTCGAAATGGCCTTTTAAAAAAGTTGCCATTTCTCTGTTTTTATTTAAAGTAAGTTGGCATGCTTGACTTCTTTTCGGGGTATACCTATCTAAGTTTGGATGGGGGATCATAAATGCAATTAACTTGACTAGTCTTTGATTTAACACTTGTGGCTTTTGGAATCCTTGCCCACTGGGACCCTGTGGAGACAGAGTCAGCCTCTCCTGAAATAGATGCCTTGACACATCCTTGGTGACTAATTGCTATTGAAAAAGCCCAGCCCTTGTCAACCTAATGCCTTTAGACATTCAAAATGAAATGGTTTGATTAATAATCACTTTTTTAAAATTCACCAGAATGTTTTATAAAAAACATATCTGTTCGCTCTTTGTATTGGAGTCAGCTTAGGAGAAGGTGTTCATCCACCTACACCTTCTGAAAGAGAGAAATCTAATCATGTGTTTTACTTAAATCGGTTACCTGAGGCAGATTTATTTTCCTGAATCTATTATATTTTGATTCTCCAAATTCAATGAATTTATTAGCGACTAAGAGGAGTTGTAATCAAGGGGACAGGCTTTCATGCCTAAGCCCTGATTTATTTCTTCTTTTTTTTTAAACTCAAATAAATCAAGTCCTGGGAGCCAGATGAGATCATATCCCACTTCCAGTGTGAATTGACTACTAGCTATTTTCTTGCAGCCTTGGGCCCAAACACCTCAAAGTGGGAATCTAATTAATATTTGACTGTGATTCCCACCCTGTATGCCTCTGGGAAAATCTCATGTTCTTGTGAAAGAGCTAAAAATATGCATCCTAGGTTAGGAAATGGAGCCTAAGATAATGAGTGAAAAAGGGAAGCCTGAGTTCGGCTTTCTAATTTTACTTACTTGTAGATTTTAAAAGGAAAAATAAAGAATACTTCTACTGCTCTGCTATTTATCTAAAGCAGAGTTTGCTGAGTTTTGTGGAAGTGGAGAGGCAGATGGAGAGCTGGCATCTAGCCCTGCTGGTGCCTACAGCCGGCTCTGTGCCAAGTGACAAGGCAGCCTTCGTGATCCTGAACTCAGTCTGCACATCTGTAGAATGAGCTTGTTAAACCGCATCAGTTCCGGACTCCTCTCAGCCCTGATGTGTGAGTCAGCTCTGCTTCGGCTTCCTCCAGTTAGGTCCATGGGAGAAGCATAAGAATCTTTCTTCCTCTCAGCCCACAGGTCAAGAGCGCCTTTCCTCAATGAGCGGCTAGAGTCACGCAGGACTTGAGTGGCTGAGTTCTCTGGGGCCAGGGCTTGAGACATGCCACAGGTCCCTGCCTCTACTCTCATGGCCCCCTGCTCTGCCCTGTCAGAGTGCTCATGTGGGGCTCTGACTGTTTATTGAATTGTCAGTCTTCCGCTAGATTGTAAGGTCTGAGAGGGGAAGGGATAGTCTGTCCGGATTCCCTCCTCTATCCCGAATGCCAAGACAATGCCAGACACATATTAGACACCAAATGAATGCTTTCTGAATGGGTGGATGATGGAGGAACGATGAGTGAAGGAAGGATGGATGGATTGATGGATGGATGGATGGACAAATCCTTCTATTTTTTAGAACCAGTTCATTTATGAGATTTGACAGAATTTGTGCTAGTTTAGTTTTGGATACTTCCCTGTCCTCATATTCCCTTATTCACTGTGAGTAGAATTTTCAAAGGATTTCTGATTGACTTGTTTTTTCTGTATTCTATGGTATTATCTCTTTAAAAAAAGAAAGAAAGAAAGAAAGAAAGACCAGCACAAAAATGCTCATCTGGGCATGATCTCACATTCACCAGAGTAGGTAGGGCCCTGCCACCTCCTGCGTTAGTGTACTGCGCCCATCCCTCAGCAAAGAGACTTAGTCTTGGCTCATATTTTCTCTGAATAAGTGCCTGTGAGATGTATTATATAGTCCCATGTAAAATGTCGAGAAATCGATTGTATAATTGATTTGCCTTTCTTTTGAAATCTCTGAAGATTGTATTAGAAAAAAGAAAGTCAGGGAATTGGTTCAATTATCTGAGAAAGCAGTGTTGAAATGTCTGTGTCTTGGCCTCACCCCTGTCCTAGATGTATGTGTAACGGTTTCATCCTTCATTCATGCAGACCATGATGAAACAAGGGCTAGAACCAGCATCCTGGTCCCCAGTCCGTACTGAGTGGATGCTGGCTGTGTGCAGGGCGGTGGGGTGGGTGGGTGTGCAGGACATAGAACCTGAGAAAACTGTCCTCTCATTCGGACTAACCTGTGTGATTTCAAGGAAAGACTGATGCAGATTGTATTCAATTTCCTAATGAGGATGAGCTTCCCCAAACTATTTCTTTATCACTGTTTCTTTTTGAAGGAAACCATCTAGCACATTCTTAATGGGCCCTTAAAATGCCACAGAGCTGTGTGTCATGAACAAAGTTAAGTATCATGAAATTGGGAGGCCGGATGCTGGTAGAGGTTTTTTGCACGCCCTGGAGAGAGGAGCTGGGAGGAAGAGGGATGCTGTGTTGCATGGACCACCTTGATTTCCAGGTGGAGGTCCTTTGGCGCCGGTGTCAGTGCAGCAGAGGGTGGTCAGCAGCCTCCTCTCCCTGGAGTCCCGTCTGCTAGTGTGGTGGACCAGCTCGCTCACTGACAGCTATTTAAGGGGAAGGCATCAGAGCCAAGTGTGGCCCTAACACGGGCTTCTCTGTGGGAGCCCGGAACTTGGCTCTGCTCATTTGCAGTGTTTTCCGCTTCCAGGGGAGGCCAGCGCCTCCACCATGTGGGATAACAATGCCTGGATGTTCTTCTACGACAACAGTACGGATGGTGAGCCGCCCTTTCTGACCCAGGACTTCATCCACGCCTTTCAGCCAGACGCAAAACTGATTGTCATGCTCAGGGACCCCGTGGAGAGGTGAGCAGTTTAGAGTTTTTGTTTCGGGGGGTGGGGGGGAGAAAAGGCAGTTTTGAAGGACAGTCTTCGTGTCACAAACAAGATTTTGCCTCTTCTTTTTTTTTTTTAAATAAACAAGCTTAACTTGCAGTGTTACTGCTGTTTCTTACGTAAATGTTATTCTTGGGGTGATCTTCACTGTGTCTAAACAAATTGTGGATTGTTTTCTTTGCCATTCTGACCCTGTTCTCTGGGCCTTCAGCCTCTGGCCAGTTTGACCTGGGGACATGGGACTGCTCCTTGGGGTCTGTCAGGGCACGAGAGACGCCCCTGGAATCAGGGGTGTTGAGTTTCTCTGCAGGGGTTTTAGTCCTAGAATTCCATATCTCCTGACTTGACCGATGCCGTTATGTTGTCAGCTCCAGCTTTCCTTAAGAGACCAAAAGAAAGAAAAATGACAACTGAGCTGCCTTGTTGTAAAGAACAGGGGTTGCCCAGTGTGGATGAGACAGAGCTAGCGTGATAGTGAACGGTGTGGGGTGGCTGGGCCAGCGCTGGGCAATGCTTCTGGCATTGATGAGTTCTGTGTGGATGGCAGAATCTCGGGGCTGCCGAGACCTTAAAATCATTTAGTCCCATGTGCCCCTGACTGATACCACCACATCAGAGATAAGAGGGCTCCAGTCTGGTCCAGGACCCTTAGGTGGGAGTACCCCACTCAGGATGGCCAGTCCAGCTCAGGACAGCTCTCTGACAGCATTCTTCCTATTTTGAGACCAAATCTGTCTTTTGGGAGTGTCTATACTTTGGACTCATTTCTTCCCCATAGAGCTATGCAGGCCAAGTCTAATCCTTCTGAAATGGGAGAGCCTGCCAGATAGTGAAGACAGCAACCATAGCCCTCTCTGTCTTGTTTTCCTTCGGGCTGACTACCTCTTGTTTGGATTGAATCATGCCCCCCTCAAAAGATATGTTGAAGTTCTAACACCCCCACTGTATGTGTGAAGGTGACCTTGTTTGGATATGGGGTCTTTGCAGATGGACTGAAGTTAAGATGAGGTCATATTGGAGTAGGGTGGGCCTTGGTCCAGTGGCTGGTGTCCTTATGAGAAGAGGAAACTTGGACACAGAGGGCAGGGAGAACACCATGTGATGATGGAGGCAGAGGGTGGAGTGACGCTGCCAAAAACCAAGAAGCAGTGCCTGGGATTGCCAGCAACTGCTAGCGGCTGGGAGGGAGGCAGGGAGCAGATCTCCCTCAGAACCCCCAGAAGGAACCAACCTTGCTGACACCTGGGTTGCTGGTGTCTAGCTCTCAGAACTGCGAGAGAGTAAATTCTTATTGGTGTAAGCTGCCAGTTTGTGGTGGTTCCTTACAGCAGCCCCTGAAACCTCGTGCACCCCTTCTTCCTTCTCGGAGGGCATACCTTCCTGGCCCCATATCCTTGCCAGTGATAGCAATAAGACATGGTTATTGTGGAAATTTTAGAAGATACATTGGAAAACTGTTTTGAAGAATACCTATAACCTCCACCCAGATAACTATTATTTCTCTTTTGGTGTATTTTCTTCCAGACTGTTTGTTACGCAGATAAGTGTGGCGTGTGTATGTGTGTGTGTGTGTGTGTACACAGCTGTGTGAATACACCTTGCTTCTTTTGTTGTGCATTGCTGCCCTGGAAGGTCATGCGTCAGAGTTCTTCCCTGCGTGTGTCGCTGCGTCCTTCTAGAGTTCTCGGAGTGGCCCCTGCTGCTCTCACCGTGATCTGGCTGGAGGAGAGCTTGGATGGTCCTGCTCCGTTTCCACCCCTGGCATCACCATCCGGCACGTCTCTGTGCCATGGGTGGTTTTATTCCGCCCTCTGCATCCTGCCGGCTCAAAGATCCATCCACTCCGGTATCAAGGCAGCCACTGACCTTGGAGCAGCTCTCCATGTCCTACCTGCTCGTTCCCACACTCTGGAGGCAGGAACTTGGCCCTCCCGCTCATGAAGTGAGCTGGTCCCCTGGGTTCGAGAATAGTTGACACAAACCAGTGGTTCTCTCGTGTAGACATGATTGCATAACCGCCAGCCTTGGAAGGAAAGGCCTGGTGACCAAGTGGCCCCTCGCCGCCCTCTGAGGTGTTTTCACAGCTGCTCCGCCTCCCTCCCCAGGCGCCCCAGCTGCAGCTCACAAAGTTGGAACACTCTCAGGGGCGCTTTCTGCTTGCTGACTGTCTTCCTGTCACATCGCCCTAGTTCCTCATTCTGAGGAAGGTCACACTGCGCCTCAACTTCAGAGGGTCCAGAGAGTCAAAACTGCCACCTTTTGTCGCTCCCTGGGCACAGAAGGGTGGGACCAGTCTGTATCTGGGCTCAGTCTGCACCGGCCTTGTCCTGAGCCCTGGGGGTGCGGGAGCTCTCGGCTGGTCTGGGAGACGGGCTTGGCTGTGGTTGTTCTGGTCTGTGGATTCCGCCACAGCAGAGAGGGCGGACGAGATGTGGCATAGAAGAGGGAGTGAGCTCCTGGGGGGAGGTCCAGAAAGGCTGCTCTGGAGGAGCCAAGGCCAGGCTGGGTTTTGAAGGATGAGTAAGAGTTGGCCAACTAAACAAAGAAGGAAGATGTTCAAGGGGAAGAAGCTATCTGAGCAGGGAGAACAGAGAGTGCACAGGTAAAGCCCACGTGTTCTCTTGTTGGAGCGTGGAGCCGGCTTCCCTGGCTGTGTCCCTTTCTTCCTGCGGCTCTGATTCCACCCCTGAGGACATGAGCTCCATAAAGGTGAGCCTTTGAACAGGGAGTGTTGTCGTGCTGCCCAGGGTCAGCCAGCTGAGCCAGAAGCAGGACCTGCCCAACTCATCTCAGACATCAGCCTGAAGCCCGCCTTCCTTAAGAAGGCACCCAGGCCACAAGATGGCCACGCCGAGTAGTCATCATGTTTTCTTCTTTTCTTTTAAGAACAAATGCTCTATTTATACTAGGAACTGAAAGTGAAGGTTTCTTACCTTCCTGGTCCTGACTTAGCAGAAATAGTTCATGAATTGAAATGTTTATTGAGCCCCGACCACATGCTGGGCACTGTGCTGGCTGCTGAGCACACACACATCAGTGGACAGTGAAGGGGACCCGGTGCCTGTCCTCGGGAGCTGGCACTTTATCCGAGGAACGAGGCATTGACTCTGTCCTGATGAGTGTAATGGTGCCAAGGAGGAGAAGGGCAGGTGCCATGGCCCGGCCTGCATCAGGACGCTAGCCCGGGGTGGGGTTGCCTGCTGCGTTAGTGCTCTGGTGCTGTGTAACAAATCACCCGGAAACTTAGCAGCTTAGAACAACACACACTGTCTCACAGTTTCTGTGGGTCGGAACCTGGCACAGCTTCCAGGGTCTTCTACTCCAACGTTTCTCCCAAGGCTGCAGTCAGGGTGTCACCAGGGTGGGGTCTCATCCAAAAGCTCGACTGGGGAAGGAGCCACATCCAAACTCATGTGGTCGTTGGCAGAATTTACTTCCTCAAGGGCTGTTGGAAAGAGGGCCTCTGTTCTTTGCTGGCCATTGACTAGAGGCTGCCCTCAATACCGTGCTGCTGGGCCTCGCCCACAAGGCTGCTTACTTCATCAAAACCAGTAAAGGACAGGGGTTGGCCCAGTGGCACAGTGGTTAAGTTCACACGTTCCGCTTTGGTGGCCTGGGGTTTGCTGGTTCAGATCCCAAATAGGGACCTATGCACCACTTGTCAAGCCATGCTGTGGCAGGTGTCCTACATATAAAGTAGAGGAAGATGGGCACGGATGTTAGCTCAAGGCCAGTCTTCCTCAGCAAAAAGAAGAGGATTGTTGGTGAATGTTAGGGCTAATCTTCCTCAGGGAAAAAAGAAACCAGTAAAGGAGAGAGTATGCTACTGAGTTGGAAGTCTCCATCTTTTGTAATCTGATCATGAAAGTGACAGCCCATCACCTTTGCCATATTTTATTGGTTAGAAGCAAGTCATGAGGTCCAGGCCACTCTCAAGGGGAGGAGATTACAGGGTGTGAATACCAAGGAGTGGGGATCATGGGGCCGTCTTAGAAGTCACCTACAGCACCTGCTCTCTGTCCCACTCTGCGGTCCTCCAGGAAACGGGGGCCTTACAGTCAGCACAGGAACTGCCAGTGTGGTACCATGCCTAGTGGCAGAGCATCCGCACTCACAAGGAGAGTGTATTCATGTGTGTGTTCTCTGTGTGGGTTGCTGACAGCAGCAGCTGTTTCATCGCTTTTTAAACATTTATAAAAATATGTAACAATAGGAATTTCTTCTTTTTTGAAACCCATGACTCATGGCCTATCTGAAATGGCTGGCTTGTTTCCTATCCCAGCCGGAACGGATGATAAATACTGGGTGTTTAGGTCACTGTTGAAGAAACAAACACTCAGAGCCCAACTGGGCCCTGGGCCGTTAGCCCGCTTCAGTCATTTCATGACCTTGCACTTCTGCGCGTGGGAGAGTCCCAGGGTCGCTTGCTGCCAAGGAGATTGGACCAAATCGGTCTTTTCCCTCTACAGATAGTCTTGGAGAAGGGTGGGGAGAAACTTTTGTTTCTAGTTTTAGATTCATATTTAGCCTTTACTTGTATAGTTGACCAAAGGTAGAGCATTTGAAAATGCTGCAGTTGTAAGCAAAACCAAAGCAAACACTTAAGTTTCTGGAGAAAGATGTGAAGGTGTCCATTTATTTTTCTGGAGCAGAGAGGAACTGTGGAAAGTGGATGGAATGATTCTTATGGCCACACGGGCCAGCCAAGAATTCTTGTTGCAAGTTTCCCTGTGTAAGAGAGAACGACAATTTAAAACTCCAGTGAAGCATTCTTAGGCTGAATTGGCCCAGTTAATTAAAAAGAACCCACCAATTACAAGCAGAATTTTTCTTCATTTAATTAGATTCTTAAGCGGACAAGACTGTTCTTTTCAACACATCTCGCATTGGCCTCCTGCCTCTGCGTTTGTGAGAGGGTTGATAGAGTTTGACTGTTAATTCAGAGACATGAAATGTGAACAGTGGCTGGA